CATCCCCCTTTGAATCTAGTTTAAAGCTCACATCCTCTTCTACCCTCAGTCACCTCAAATTTAGCAGTTTTCTACCTTTCAGGTCAATGCAATACATTCTTGGGTCAGAATAAAGTTCAGATGGGACTCAAACAGCAAAAAGTGATAAAGAGGTGGGCTGATATCTGTAACTACAACTGTGTTCAGCTCCTACAGAGCCACAAATCATGCTCAAGCCACTCAAGAAAACTTCTCCACTACCGCCACTGTCTCAAGAGGAATCACTCTGTAATGGTCCAGCAAGAGAACTATGCAGTAGTAGCACAAAGTGTTCAGCATGTATCACCGTAATTTTAAGTAGGAACAAGGAGCCTTTTTATTCCTCAAGGCCAAACAGAGCATGTGAGGACCTCACGTGGGCCATGCACTACACTTTCATGTTATGCAAGAACATGAAAAATACGTAGCCCCAGATAACATAAAATTAAGTCACTAAGTCCATGCATTCCCCTGCTCTACAGCAAGGCAACTCTTTCAGTCTGCCAGGTGCCCGACCGAAAATTTCAGCTCTGGCAACTCAAGGCAAAAAATATTTCATTTGAAAGCAGTGTTGAAGACAAGCCCTAAAATGATACAAGTGCCTTGAGCAGCAGTTTGTTTTGACCCTTTATCAATACTCTCAGTTCATTATAGCCTCACGGCTTCTCTGTGCCAGCACTGTTTGCCTGATTCACATAGAAGAAAATCACAGGTTGTTACCTTCTGCAGGATCTTTTTTTTTAAAAAAGGTGCAAAATGATAAATAAAAGAAGACTCTAAATAAAAACAAATTAAAAAATTAAGATTGTGTGGCACTTATGTACTTGTCTTCAGTGTGGGTCATTTATTACGTATATACTCGACATATCTGAACTAAACAAACTTTCAAAAGGTAACGTAACTTGGAGTCAGTACAGGTGAATCTAAAATAAGTAAATATGAACATGCACATCTCCTCCCTCATAACCATGAATAAACACTAGAGATCTTAGACAATAGCCACAATATCTAATTACTAAAAGTGGCAGTTTTACAGCAACTGGTTGTTGAGTACCAAAGACAACACGGTTTTGTGAATCAAGTAAAGTGTTAGAGATAAGAGCATTGCCTTACAAATAATTTACCAATTTGCTTTTCCTGGTCAGTTCTATGCTTAATGGTTTTGGTCTTTCTGGTGAAGCAAAGACATCGAAATAAATTTACTCTGGGAATCAAATAAAATCTCTTTTGCCATTAAACTAAATGCTTGTTTGTTTCAGAGTACAAGAATATAGGTTTTAGTTAAATCTTTTGCAATGAAATGAGATGTTACTTCATGATATAAATTCAACGCGCTTCACTTCAAAAGCATTAACAGAAAATGTTTCAACCTCATTTTTTCCTCCTTAGCTATTTTTAAGATGTAATGTGATGGATTAAGCATGAGCTGGCATGTCATTTCACATACACAATTTTCAGGAAGAAAAAAACCTAAATATATTTTGCCTGGGAAAATAACAATCCCTTTATTTAGGACCTTTGGATTCAGTTCCAAAATATATGTGCTGTCTTGGACAACTTATGCAATGCCTTCATCCCTCGGGCCTCTTAAAAATAAGGCTCTTGTCTATTTACCCTGCAAACTGTTTGGAGCATAAACTTAAAAGCTAAAACTATTCCAGTAACTACAGACTATCTAGTACAACAAGGTTCTCACTTCCACTGGGGTTTTTATATAGCGGAGTCAGTATTCATAACAACTCTGTACTAATCAAATGATAAACTCCTAAAATTGAAGGGACAGGTGAGAGAAAAATGCCCCAAAAAAACAGCTTCAGAATAAACGTATGAATATAACAATTTCCCACAGGCAGTTCGGACAAATATCATTCAAAAACCTTAAAACTAGCCACATATATTCAATTATTTAAAGAAGAACTGTCTAAGGATCCAGTAGTTTTTTCCAACATGCTCTATGGTGGGTTTGGTTCTATACCACAACAAGTCTGTATTCAGACATAGGGCAGACTGGGAGCTGCAGAGAGACATCTCACGGGTCCACAAGCGCTCAGCTTAGTACAAATTAAGCCTGCAGAAAAAACCTTTGACATTCGAACCCTACCTATAGTTTCTGCTAAACTTTATGCTGTGGGAAATCAAATGCTGCAGACTTCCACAACACACCACATGCATTCTGCTTCAGGTTTGCCCCACATACAACCTGTTCTTATATCAGCAGTTTCCAAGAGCAGGAACATCTGTGTTTGTTTCCTGAAAGCAAGGAAGCTTCTGCAGGGAAATTCACCATCAGACTTCTCCACTGAACTGCAGCATTCTGCGTCATACTGTGATGACCAATTTACTGTACCAGTGCCCTTTGGATATGCAAAGGATATAATTGTGCAGACACAGAAAAAATGAAGTACAAAAAACTTTTTTGGTTTTGTTTTTACCTCTTCTGAAGTGAACAGGACTAGTCTTGGCAAACCTGAAAGTCCTTTTTCCTTTATCTCAGGACAAAATTTGTATCTCGCCAAGTTCATAGCATACATATTAGAAACAGAGCCACCTGCAGAAAGAGACATGCAAATATTGTATTAGCCACAGTCCGAGCACCTGTCCTGTGTCTGAGTGCTTGACCTATCAGGGAAAAAAAAACAAGCCATAGAGTTAGCCTATAGATACATCCATCACAGCTTATTTCCTCCTCAAAAGCCTACAGACATAAAATGAACTTTGGGCTCTGCAGTATGAATGGAAATGGAGGGTGTTTGAAGGCTCTTTGGGGATATTTCCTGAAAAATAAGAACTGTCCCCAAACAGTCCTAACAGACAATAAATACCCTGCAACAGCTCCTTCCCCTTTACGCTGAAGCAGTGCCAGCTCAGCTGCCCACAGCGAGCTTGGCTGGGGCTGAACCGTACAGAGCCTAGGAGATCTCAGAGCATTATCTGGAGAAAAAAGCCCCTACAAAAACCAAAAAAACCCCCCCAAAACAAACAAACAAACAAAAAAACAACCCCACAGTGAGTGGGAACTGGAAGATCTTCAAGGAGAGATCTGGACAGGTTTTATTCACTTAAAAGAATAAAATCAAAATAATAAGAAAAACCCTTACATAAAACTAGCACAAAAAAGTATAATTCATTTATCTTTTGACAGTCTTTCAGTAAGTTTTAATTAAGCAAATCTGCCATAAAAGCAAGGATTCTACTGAAAATACACTACACAGAAAAACTGATGTGAAAAGAATGCATATCATTGCCACTTTTTTTTTTTAACTTTTTTAGGGAATTATTTTTCTATTACTCACATGTAGGCTAGAATTACTGACTTTGTGTTGGTTTTTGAGTGGGGGTTTAAATCCATTTACTCATGTAATTTCTCTTTTCACCCCCAAATTATATAGAACAGCTTCACAGCTAGCCTCATAATTTGTTATCTGGATAATCTGTGGAATAATGTCATTATACTTCATTATTGCAACACAGTGGGCTGCAACGCTGCCTTACAGATCATTTGAAAACTGTGGATTATCAAGAAGCTTAAGAAATATATGTTTGGTTGGCCTTATCATAACATTTAAAAAACTATCAAAATTCAAAGGAGTTTAGCTCGTGATGCTCCCACTAAGACAAACTCTGACACCCACAGCTGATAGGCAGGATACAAAGATCAGTGCCCTCGACACCACTCCCTGTCAACCAATTTGACTCAGTTCAATGAGGTTGTTGGTATTGTTGTTAATACGGTCAGAAAGGGCATCAGTTACAAACAATTTCCACACAATTATATTTAATGTAGAACTGTTTTCATTCATTCACTGATCAGATTCACAGAATTATTACTAGAAAGACATAAAATAAGCATGGATTAAATAGTTGTGTGTGTGCATCACTGCACTTTTGCACACATTTTCAAATTTTCTACACAAATCCATTGCTCATGGAATTACTGGTATTAGTTGGTTTACAATGACTCAACTTGAAATCTGAACTGTTCCTACCTGGATTAAATATACCATCACCTTCTTCCCAGCCTATGAACTCAATCATTTTCTTGATGACTGCTTCTTCCACCAACAAAAACACAGGTGATACTTCATATGTATATCTGAAAAAAATAAAAGCATCATCATAGATACTAAGACTATAGAACTCATGCCACAGAATATTGCTAAAACTAGATAAAGGTATCTTGGACCTGTCTCTAATCTATCAGAAGCTGACCACCATCAGCAACAGAACTCTAAACTAAAAAAAACTATGGATCTGACCCAGTAGAGCAATTGCTTAGTCCCTGACAGCATCACATTGACACTTCCACTCTCTAACTAATACATTAGAGTTTGCTTTTAAAGTTAGTCACACACTTATATTTCAGCTATAATGAACTATTACAAGCAACAATTACTTTTTGTTTAGCCTTTACATTTCCAAGTAAATATCAGACAGGTAACCATTTGCATTCAGTTCTGTGCAGAATGCTTCAAAGGAAATGAGCAACTGAAGTCTGATTAATTCATTTTTATGCACTAAGATAAAAGTCTAGGTTTAAAAGCATTGAAAAACAAAGATCTCTCCTCTTAAACCCCACCTCACAAACTAGAAAAAAAGGCCTCATCAGGTTAGCCAGCCATCTGGTGAGCTATTCAGCCAATCCAGACTGCTTTCTCTCCCAAATTCCTGCACAATGCCTACCTTATTTGTAACACTGAAAACATAAATCAGAAGGGAGATGAAGCAAAAAAAGTTGTTATTCCAAAAAGCATGCCAATTCATCATCAAGAGGACAAAGAACTACACTTACACACTCGGGTTCAGTGCTTCTGTAAGGAAACGAGCCACTAACGAGTAATAATCTAGTCCAGCATACAGCTGATTGAAAAATCTCGGATGACCTGAAAATACAGATGAAAAGTAAGCAGTGACAGGATATACATGAGAAGATAATATATCACAGACCCTTTCAGTTAAATGCTGATCACTGCAAACCACAATTCACTCCATCATTCTCAGTATTTTCTAGACTTACTTTTTCTTAGGTTAGACAATCTTTTGAAAGTAAATTCAATAAGCACTTTCAGGTCCCAGAACAAGGTTTGAGACATGCAATTAGAGCACAGAATGAACACGGGTTGTTCACAAGTTTTACAAGTCAAAAAAAAAAAAAAAAAAAAGACAATTGACTATACACAGTGGCTTTTAACAGTGGTCTTGAGAGGCCCTGATCAATGATGCTCAGCCAAATTTTGATAAGCAGTAGAATACAGGAAACTGTTGATCCCAGGCAGCTGTGCCTGTGCTCCCACCAAAGTCTTGGCATTGAGAGAGAGGCAGTGTAACAGCTTGGAAAAACTTGCTGCAGACTTAAAATGACAAGTGAAGAGAATTTGTTTACCTGCCTTGAAACACTGAGATGTAATTAAATATGAGAAAATTCTGTACTATTGCTGACTACAAAAACAAGTCAGTTCAGCAGTGGGATCACCATCTAAATTTTAATCCACAGTATAGTACTTTTACATGCAAAACGAAGTTATCTGTATGGCTCCATTTATACTACATCTGGAGCTTCAATAAAGGTTTATACTTAAAGACTACTTGCACAGCATATTTTTATATACTTTACATCCTTTCTAAGGCGACATAGTGTAACAAATGAATATCTGAAGGCAATTTGCAAAAGTGATATGAACAGAACACCTTCCAGTAACTCAGTAATTATATCTGTGTACTATTAGTGCACTTCCCCTGTACATCAATATTGCTACTTTTCTATGGTTTTCAAAGACATGTGCACACTCTCAAAATTATTTTACGGTTTTACTTAGTAGCAACAGTTACCGTAGCAGGCAACATGCCCTGAAAATGCACAACTGACTATATCAAATGTCCTTCTCGCCTTCCAATACAGCCTAAGCTATGCCACATCTGAAATCCTGAGCAGATGTGGTTCACCCCCCCTTTTCACTAACACTGAATTATACTACATATGCTGCAGAAAGGTTAGCTGTACAGAACTAATCCTGCAGAGATGTGGTGTGCTGTCTCTGAAACACTGCAGGCTCTTTTCTCACAGTGTCTGGAACAGGAATCACTGCCTATCAGCAAATTAACACCCTGTAAGACTACTGCTCAAAAAGAACAACCGTAAATACAGGGTAATCATCACTAAGAACAAATGAGGGCAATGATGCTGACTCCACTCCTCGCCACTCTGACAGCAGGACATCATACCCAAAGGTCCTTCTCCTGCCTGTTTTGCTAGACTGCTATATCATACCTGTCTAGGTGACTTTCACAAGACTTCAAAATGACAGAATCTACCATTAATGTCAATGGCATTACAGGAATTAATTTTCGATTAGTTTGCCATGATTACACATTTTAGTCAAACCTATGGTGACCAGCCTTCAGTCAAACAATGCTAACACAGCCAAATGTTTGCATACTTGTATAGGCAGGCAGAAAACAAGCATTCACATCCCCAGTTTCCTGGAAGGTGACAGAAATTTGTGAACATTATCTTGTCTTCCTAAGTTAGCATACAAGACTTCACTAGAAATCGCATTCCTACTGGTTTTGACGCTGTATTGTATAACATCCCGGCAGAGTTGCAAGAGTTTCTGATGAGATTCTCCGGTGTCCCTCATTTCCAGGTCAAGAATCTGCTTCAGTGTTTCGGGGGCTCGCCATTCACAAACCTAGTGATGGGGAGGGAGGGGAGACACCAGCAGTGAACAGGTTAGCCAAGAGGAAGAGGTTGTAAACGTTCAAGGTAATCACCACATTCAGCACTGGTTTAACAAAACTGCCCATTGCAGAGCAGCATGCCACCAGAAAATATCTCTGGTAAACTGGTCTCATAGGATCTTGGTTTTATTGTGTCTCGGGCACTGCTTGCCCATAAAAATTAGTGTGGAGGGTACTGGAAGGTAGAAAACCAAGAGGACTGCAGGTCAAATTCTGTCCTCAGCCAAGGATTTGTAATCACAGCATTTTCAGATGCTGTTCTGCCAAGGGGTGGGAGCAAACAGTGCATTCCCAAAGGCAAGCATGGTTCATTTGCAGCTCCTCTTCCCATACAGCCTCTTAAGCAGGGTTCTGTGAACCATGAAACCCATAGAAATCTCTTAATATTGCCCTTTCACAGTGGTACCACACCCACTGCTCCTCCTCCAATACCAGTGCTACTGGGGAGCAAACAAATAACTGCCCCCACCCCAAACAAGAAAAACACTACACCATTTGTCATCTCAAAGAAAGGGACCATTGTACTCCAAGACGAAAAAAATCATTATTTTCTGGCAAATGCATATGCTGATTATGTTATTAAAAGGTTTTATAACACGATCTTTCTTAATTTGCAAGGCTTTTTGTTTTAGAGCCAGGCACAGACTAGAAGCAATTTTGAGTGCAATAAAATACAGCTTAGAAAAAAAAATATTTAGTGTTCATTATCTCTGCTACAAATTCTCAACAACACACTTTGGCCTTACCTTCCCTGTTACATCATCAGCTTTCTGTATTACTTCTTCCATTATAATCTTACAGGCCTCTTCCACAAACTTCTCTCCTGCTTTTGAGTCTGTTATTGGACCATTTAGGATAACCCCATCCACCAAAACAGCATTCTTCTTCTTCTGGAGCATCTCCTGTTTGCAGATACCAACTGTAAGACAAATAAGTCACCATTAGAGCAAGGTCTGGATGACTAAATCATTAACTGAAAAGATACTGTTTCATTGTTGAAGATTTGGTTAACTTAAGGAAAAAATTCACATGGAATTTTCACACGTACAAAAGTCTTAGATTTTGGTGGAAGGATCTTTACGGACAAAAAACCTCAACATGTTACTTCAAATGTAGTTTGTTACTTTGTTGGTAATAATAGCCTACTGTATGGTATTTACTGCTTTCTGTAGCGTACAAAAGCTTGCAAGGCACCTTCCAAACACAGAGAGAAAAACAGTTCTGGCCTAGAACATGATACAGCTGGATAAACAGAAATAAAGTGCAGCAGGCATTTTTCTTAGCTTGAAAATGTTTCCCTCTACATGTCATTCCTCCTGTTCCTCTTTTTTCACTAAATAATTTTCAGCTTAATTTCCCATATGTTTATGCTGCTCCTTCGCACCAGCCCGTCCTACTGCACCGAGTCTTGTCCGTCCTTTGCAAAGTGTTGCACTGACCCACACTCCATTACAATAAAACCTTTTCAGATTGCTGTCAATATCACTTACCTGTACTTCTTTCTGCCCTTATCCTATTAAGTGCCTTGAGTTATTAATTACAGCAATTTGCTGTGCAGATTACCTTGTTTATTCACTTCTCCAATGACAACCTCTTTCTTCTCCCCCACCTTTATCCAGAGATGTATTCCCTGATGTGTTCCATAAACACATTGCTACTTCCTCCTTTACATTACTTCTGAAAGCACATCCAAGGTACTTATAAGACACCGGCCAATAGCAGCAACCATGTTATCTATTATCATGTATTGATGTCATACAGCAAGATCAGGGCTCTAGTTTTAATCAATGTGAAGATAAAGACGAAAGTGAGACATTTGGAGATACCAAAGGAACAGACATTTGAAACAGTATAGCACTGAAACAAGCAGCAGTAACTACCGTATCCAAATCATCTGGTTCAGAGACAGCACCTGTCCACTGATCTCGCCTTAGAATAGCTAGGACCTATGAAGCCAGACAGCATTGCCTTGAAGGGTGTTCTTCATCTACAGTGAGGATGGTGGAAGGGTAAAGACATATGAAGGAGAAAGCTCTATGCCCAAACCAACTTTATCTTCTGCTTTTCTTTTTGCTCTAGTATACCAAGTACAGAAGAAAAGTAGCTTTTTCAGAGGTCTAAACAATTTAATTTCTAGAAGACTGCCAGACACTGCAGTGTGACACACTCATCATACTTATCATAATTACAGTTCCTCATGCGCGGGAAGATACAGAAGAACAATAAAGCTGCCTAGAAAGGTGCATGACTTCAAGGTCCATTGATTGAATGAAACCCTGTCAATCCCATGAGCTTTTACTCACTGATGACTCAGAGAAGCTATTCAGTTCACTTTCACATCTCCAGAGAGATATCACAAACTCGATAAAATTCTAACATGAGATGGAACCCCAGGTTTCCATAATGCTGATGACAAAAATGAAACCCTCACCTTCTGCATTTCTGAAATTACTTCTATTTTTAATACAGAGGGGCAATATGCTAAATTTTGCTGAACAGAGTAGCCTTCAGCACATTGTTACAGGAGAGGCATAAATGTTCTTGTGGGACAGATACAAAACAAGCAGGTGAACAGTAGAACATTTTCAACATGCAAAGAGGGAAAATCACAGATGTCAAAAACATCAATTCTCATCATGCTTCCCAGAACACCACAGCAGAGGCACTGTACAGAAACTGCAGCTTTAAAAAAGTTTTAGAGGTTTCTCTCTGAAAACACAGGCTAGTAGGTCAATTTTACAAGACCTAAAACACCAGGTATTAACAAGGAATTGGAAGGTATCGAGTCTTTGGGCAGACAGAACAGTGACAGTTTTTGGATTGAGAGTTAGTTATATGACACACAAATAGCTGCAGTACTAAGTACTAACTAGAGTTTAACGACATAAAAAAGAATCTCAGCCTCAACATCACCTGGAGATGCCACCATCTCCATTATGTCAAAGGTGTTTTGTTTCTATAGGAAAAAGGACAGGATCTAAAAAACTATATGGGAGACTGATATCTATCACAGAGCACAGATGTCAATACTTCCTTTGGTTACTAGAAGACTAGACAGTGGAGCAAGAGAACTCACTAACTCTCTTTTTTTTTCACTCTGATTCACCTCTCAGGTCTCTGCTAGAACCAGAGCAATGCAAAAGCCTTCTGTTGGTAACTACATCAGCCCTGTTTCTGACACCTTTGCACAGAGATGTGATACTATTACTTCCATGTCTTTACAATGATCTCTTCCAGGGATACTGTGAAGAGCAAAAGCAGGACATAACATTATTTTTCTAACAGGTCTTTAGGGGCCTGGATGATAGGTCTAACAACATCTCCCTCTTTGAAGCAGGTCTGTTCACCTCTACACACAGTTTTACAGTCCCCATAGGACCCTTTGCAGATCCTAAGGAAGAAGACATCCTCTAGGAAATGGGTGATAGTTTACCCCTTGTCTCAGCACATTTGTGTTGGGCCTCAGGCACAGTCTATGAAAGAGAAAAGCAAAGCAGAAGGGTCAGAAGGCAGAGAGGGAAGAGAGCCTTTTTTTAAGCTGCAATTTCAACAGCAATTTATCTGTGTAAGGCTCCAGCAAAGAGTTCAGGACTTAGCCCACATTATATTTCATGAAATAATACACTTTGCAATTATTTACCACTTCCTCAATAATTTTTTTTGTTATCACTTACCATTTCAATCTGAACTTGCGAAGCTAAATTCTGCCCTGGACCATATCATAAAACTATTTCTGGAAATCAACAGGAACAACTATTTCACAATCAGCAGTTAAATTAAGCCCCAAATTTACACATTTTCTGAGGTAAAGGTCTTCAGGTTTTGCAAACCATTGTTGGGTATATACACTACTTATATCCCTCATGGTTTTACTGCAAATCCTGTGATACTTAATCTTCTGCTTACAACTGGCTGACTTCTGGAGTTCTAATGAGAGTTATAAACTTCTCTTTACTGAAAAATAAATGTGTTTCCTCTTGGTTGCAGTAAAAACCTTGAGGAGGAAAACTAAGTAGAAGTCTGAATTTCAATTTTTTTTTTTTTAATTTTTATCACATTTTTTTAAAGATCCGATGACAAATTTACTATGTTTTAGATGGGTAAACCTCCAGAAAGACTCAAAGTTCACTTTTTATGTCACAGTACTCACGTTAAATAGCATGCCTTTAATACCTTCTCAGAGCTCACCATCTAAGCTAAGAAATACACAGTCTGTCTTTATGAGCTGATCATTCATCTTGTCTCCTTAAAAAAAGATTAAAAATTTAAAAATCATACCTCAAATATTCAAAACATTATTTTCTACGAATTTTGGGCCTTTTACAGATCTATTCCAAACACATCTGACAGCACTAAGGGAACGTGTTCTACATGGAGCTCACTTCATAGAAACAGCATCTTGTCACATATACTTTTTTTGTTTTCAAACATGATAGGCAACTAATCTGGAGATGTGGCTGCAATAGATACATTTTTTTTATATTTAAGAATACAGAAAAAAAAAACTCCTAAGCAGACTCAGAAAACAGATGTTCAGAAAGTGTATCAAATGCAATTTCAGCCAAATGGCTCCAGGCTTGAAAGAGAACTTTACCAAATGGAAGTGCTATAATCAGAGATTAAGGATTATTGACTGTTCAAAATATGCTTCTGCAAAAGAAAAGACGATCCTGCTCCAGTTGAAGGCAATTGAGCATTTAGCCACTGGCTTCAGCAACAGCAGAAGCAAGCCCATAATTCTCACATTTCATTCCGAATGAAATATTCTGTTACAGAAGCCTAAGGATTTCCAGCCAGCATTTCATTTTTATGATCAACATTATTTTCCCATAAATTTATTTCCCAAACATAAATTAGAGCTGAAATAATATACAGAAAAATAAACATTTTTTTCCAAATGTCTCTATATCTTTATATAAGCATTACCAAGTATTTTGAAAGCTGCATCTGTGTTTCAAACTTTCACTGCTAAATTCTTGCACTATCTAAAGGAACTGAAGTCTTGTTCTTGGCATATTCTGACAACATTTGGGAGAGTAGAATAAAATGCCCAGAAGGATTTACTGCTCACAAGGAAAAAGTAGAAACAGAAGGGGGTGGTTTTCAAAGAGTAGCTTGTGCTTGAATGCCAGAGCCAAATCCTGTTGAGTTTACACTGTACTAGCACCACTGACTATTCAAGTGAATGCAAAGGCCGGCTTTGACGAAAGGCTGATTTTTGCTTTGTAACAAATGCAATAATAATTACCAGCACTAATCAGAAACAAATCTTAAATTTCTCTTCCTGTATGATCCGGTCATGATGGTTCTTTCAGAAGACCTCAGTATTTTCTTTCAGTGTGTCCAGCAAAAACAAACAAGAGAACTTCAGTGTCAAGACCCCACGCCGCCATGTTTAATGGATTACTGTGGTGCCATATCGCGTATCAAAGTATTAAAACACAAACCTGTCCCACAGTATGCAGCTATTTCAGTCCTTTGGCATACATAATCTTTAAACACGCTTCTGTTTCTTTAATAACCACTTTCTCTATGTCTACAACTGAAGTACAGCCACTCCATTTCTAAGGTTAAATACATTGTTTCTTAGTAAACTGATTTCCCAGGGCTGTTGACAAGCAAAGGAGATGTAGTTTTCTTAGAATCCAGTATATAAGTTAACCTGGTGTCCTGGCAAAGCCACCCATATGAAAAAAAAGTAGGCACAGGTATGGTAGGGCTCATGAAATTGTCCCTATGCTACATGTTCCTGTTTCGCAAGTTTATGGACCAGGCCTGTGGACTGGGAACAAGTCGGGTGCTTCCCTTCAGAAGGTCTGCAACAGCCCTTTGCACACAGGAATCCTCTGACTGTGAAAATGCAAATGTGACCTTTACAGAGCAGGACCCAAGGAAAACA